TTTTTTTTTTTTGGAACTGGGGATTGAACTCAGGCCCTTGCACTTGCCAGGGAAGTGCTTATTCCACTGAGCCATCTCCCCGGCCCCATAGATTTATTTTTATTTTGTATTTATTTATTTATTTGTATTTAGTACAGGGTCTACAGGGTCTCGCTACATAGATGAGACTCATAGTGATCCACCTGTGTTCAGCCTCCAAGAGCTGGGATTACAGGTGCGTGCCACCATGTCCAGTCTCAATCACCATCTCAGTGTGCCCTGGGGCACAGCCTGCACAGCATGTGGGTGGGGGGAGGATTGAACCTCAGCTGCTGCGCTCTGCTAAGCAGGTGATTTAGTCCGCTGACCTATCTGGCCAGCCCTAAGGGGTTTTTTAGACAATACAGGCTTTTGGCTTTTCTAAACTTTTGGGGGTTTCCCACAATAGGCTTTTCACTCACAGCTTTACATACTGCCTTCTCAGGGACACACTGCCTGGCTTCCCAGGCCTTCTGAATCTAGGTGGAAGCCTTAGCCTCAGAACTCCTGCATTCCAAATGAGCCTAAAACTAACGCCATGTGGGTGATGCCAAGTTCTGCTGCCAGCTAGAGCAGTAGCCAGGCTTTCCTCTCTCTTGGCTGTTGGAGTCGAGTGCCTGGGTCGCTGAGCATTCTGACCCTGATTCCCAGGAACAAATTCTCTATACCACCACCATTCGGAAACCTGGTGTGGCTGCTGCCCCCATTCTGGAACAAGGTACTCTGTGGCTTTCTCCTTAAAGCAAAGTCCCTCACCCTTGCGATTCTGAGGCTGCAAAGGACAAGAAGCTGCCACCTCCTGTGATGCCCTCAGGACATCTTTTCTACTCTCTTGTTCCTCTTGGGCAGTGGAGATCTCAGCTCTGTCTTTTCAGTCCACAACCTTTCTAGTGCTTCCTTTTTGGCCAATCTCACATTTTAAACCATCCTACTAGGCTCTTTGCTCTTGACTCTCAACATATCTCTAAAAGCCCGCAACAACAGCCATGCTACTGCTTCAACATTTGGCTACCATGAGATTTCTTTTGCAAGATTAACTAGTCTACTGCATTTGATCTCAGTCTCAGCCTGCTGTGCTGGCCCCACCCCCGGGGCGTGCTGAGATGGCAATTGAGACTGGGCATGGTGACATGCACCTATAATCCTGGCTCTTTGGAGGCTGTAAACAGGAGAATCACTACAAGTCCGATCTAGTAATGAGACCCTGAACACCCTGTAGACCCTTCCCTAAAATACAAAATCATAATATTAATAATAATAATAATAAAT